TCTTTTCATTTTATTTGTTTCATTTAAATTTGAGGGTATAATGGTCATTTTACACTGAAAAATAGTGAAAATGATGTTTTCCACACTGAAACGTTGAAATAGGGGCAAAAATGCAAAAAAATGAAACGGTGGGACGTTTTGCACACTAACTATCAAACGTATGGACGTTTTGTGCTAATAAGCCTTTTAATGAACATACCACTACAGATTTACAATTATATACCTAATTAATAAAAATATATTTTCTAAACTTCATCTTTTTTCTTGCATTTCCTTCCCAGTGTGTACTTTTTTATATTCCATGGCAGAGAAGTACTAGTCTAAAACTCCATTTCTCTTCCATACCCATTATCTACTGCACATCATACATTTTCTTCAAATTAACTACCAAAAAAAAAAAAAATACATACATGCGTGTATACATATTCTAGACTTTCTGGATGCAATAATTTTGAACGATAATTCTATTATCCCTAAAAACTCGATTTTCTTTCTCACAAGAACCAAAAACGGCAGTTTCGAATGCATCTTTGGTAAATATTGTACAAACCCTGATTCCGCTCTTTATTTTTCATCCAATTTCCACATACAAAGGGAAAGGGTCGTCGTGATCCATTTGCGCTCTCTCATCTGCCAAGCCTCACTCTTGTGAGAAATAATTTCCATGTTGAGAAAAAAGGGACGTCGAAGGGTAAAATAATTTCCACCTTGCATCACAGCCTCAAATGAAATGTAATGAATAAAGTTAGTTAATGATCGTGGTGTCTATAAAAAAATATTTAATATTAAAATATATATTTAAAAGTGTTGTTAATTAAGTAATTTTACTTAGGTTCATTTAAGTAAATAAAAATGTGGAAATTACATAAATTCAGGTGTTTAAAAATTGCTTTTGAAAACTCAGATCTAAAGTTTATTTATTCAAAAATCATGTACTATATTAAAAGAGAAAATTACCTAAATACCTACTTTTAAATATTCCTTTTCAAAAAACTCCACCTAAATAAAAATAAAGACAAATCAGGTGATAATTAAGTTTTAATAATTATAATTAATAAAAATTTAATTAAACATAATTTCTACATATTCACCTCACCTCACCCAACCCCCCCCCCTTCCCCCACGCACCATTCATTTCAAAATCTCTCTCTCTTTCTCTTTCTCTCTCTCTCTCATCTCTTCTCACCCACCTACCATCTCATTCAACCCATCTCCATTTCCGGTGCAGCTAATCACAAATAACAAAGGTCAGTGATATCCCGTTACATTCCATACACTAAGTCATTTCATTTTCCCTTTCTTCTCTCCACTCTCTCTACTCTATTTCTCTCCACTTTTCTTCTCTCCACTAGCACCGACTACTGTGAAATATGGGTGTCGATCGCCTCTTCGCGATGAGCGTCGGTGTCGCGGTTGCTGCGAAATCGGTGTGAGCGGTGCTATTTTGTATTGTGGGCGGCTGCTATGAAATCTATGAGCATCGGTGTGGGGCGGCGCTGGGTGACTGTGATTTCTATGTGTGTGGAAGCCGATTGTGTTTGTGTGTGTTATGAGGTGGTGCTGGAGTTGGGGTCTCTTTTCAGATAGATGCTATGAGATTGTAGTGTGGTTTGATGAGGTGGTGTTGGGTGTGTGCTGTGGGTACATCGTACCTGAACCGTCGTTGCCAGTCGGAGAGCGCTGCCGACGAAAACACTCATAAGCGCGGAGAAGTCGTACCTGAAGTCACTGCGTGCAGCGCCTACAATATTTTCAATGTGAGGAAACTGGGCCTGCATTATTTGAAGAGCCACCATAGTATCGCTAAAAGAGAAATTCTCCTCTGCACAATTATGTATATTTCTCCAACTTGAATTCCGAGGGGAAAAAGGGTCACCAAAAGCAGAAAAATTAAATCATGAAATAATGAGGGGAAATTTTTCACCTTGTGAGAGAGAATGGTTCTGAAACTGTTGTTTTCCTGTTCATAATTCCTCTTTTTCTATATCGAATCTGTATTGGCACGCACTCTGGATGCGGTTTCCATTAAATCTCTCAAGCTTTAATGTTTATGGTAATTTTCCAGCTGATTTCTACAGGATTTTATCCCTCCAAAACCTCGATCTCTCCAACAACAGTTTAGTGAGTCTCGTTACGTCTGCTTCCATCTCTCTCTGCTCTGTGTGGGTTGTGGTTCAGGTGTGTGCAAGTGCTGTGCAGTGGTGTGCTGGCGTTATGGTGGTGACAGTGGTGACTGGTGGTGTTTTGGTGGTGGTAATTGGTGTTATATGGGGTGGTACGATATGCTAGTTGCAGTTACGAGCATTAGATCTTCATGTGGTGGTGGTTGTGCGGTATGTTGGTGGTCATCGTGACTGTTTGTGACCAATTTTGTGTTGATTGTGACTTGAGATTGACTTGATCACAGACAGTCACATTCAATACAAATTTGGTCATAGTTAGTCACACCGAAGACAAAGTTGGTCACGATTAATCCATCTCATGTGGATGTTAAATTGGGAAGTTCATATAAGTTGGTAACTTATTCATAGAAAATGTCGGGGGTGTGGGTAAACTCATCTCTGATGTTGAGTAGGGTGCAGCCCGATATCCATTCCATTCTGGATTTGGAGAAGGTACGACTTGGGTTGTAGGAAGCATTGACGGTACAAAATGTGTAATTTCATTCGATGCCCTTGGTTATTTGTGGTGACCCTATGCGATTAAGAATGTGTTTGTTGTGACTGTTTGTGACCAATTTTGTGGATTGTGATTGATTGTGACTTGAGATTCACTTTGTCACAGACAGTCACACTGAATACAAATTTGGTCACAATTAGTCACATCGAAGACAAATTTGATTACAATTAGTCACGGATGACACGTGTCAGCGAATGGGGGTGGTGGTAGGTGGATTCATGGGGTGGGGGTGTGATTTTCAATTTTTAATTTTTTGGAAATTTTTAAGTCTCCGGAGCAGCCGTCTGAAAAGTCGCCGAAATGGTCGCCATAACTGTTACCGGAGCGACCGATGGTTGTCCGGTGGAGAGGTGGAGGGAAGGTAGTGTAATGGGGTGATAGGATGGGGTAGGTGAGGTGGCATGAGTAGAAATAATTAATGCATATTAATATTATATTTTAATATTTAATAAATTTATTTACCACCTGATTTTTGAAATATTTTAATGAGTTGTTATTTATGAAATGTAATTTTGAAAGGTAGGAATTATGTATTATTCTCGTATTAAACCATAATTAATAAGCCCAATTTATCACTCTCTACTTCATTCCCTCACTCTCACGCCTCTTCTCTTCTTCCCCTTCAAACCCTGGAACTGGCGATGGAGCTGCTACGGCGACACCACACCACAAGCCCCCGTCGTCGTCGGCGCTACAAATTGAGTAGGTAATGGTGCTGGTATGAGACAGAGGCGGTGGGATTCAGTTTTTTTTCTTAGTTTATTTTCTTTGCACAGATTTGTGGTGGTGTTTGACGGTGGTACGGTGGATTTGTGGTGGTAGTCCTTGTGGTGGTGATGGTGGTCCGTGTGGTGGTGGTGGTGGTCGTCTTTTTTGTTATTGTTGTGGTGGTGTTGTGGCGGGGTCGACGACGGTGGTGGTGTTTTTTTTTGGTGTTGTGGTGCAGGCGGCAATTGTGGTGGTTGTTTTTTGTTATTATTGTGACAGTGGTTGTGGTGTTGTGATGGGGTGACGATATTGGTAGTGCTGTGCATGCGACGACAGTGGTGTGTTGTTGGTGTTATTGTTGGTGGTGGAGAAGGTGGCGGCGACAGGGATGGGACAAAGAGTGTCTGTGATAAACTATTTGGTTGATTTGTGACCAAGTATTGGTAGTGGATTGGGTTCAGGGGATGGGTGTTTGGGTATATGTGACCAACTATTTGGTTATCTGTGACTAACTATTAAACCGTGACATTAAAATTAGATAATTTGTAACTAAAAATATAATCTGCGACCAACAAATTTGAAAATATGTGATCGATAGATAAACTGTGATCTATAATTTTTTTTATTTGTGACCAAATAAAATTTTGTGACCTTTAATTTTTTTTATCCGTGACCAATGAAGTAAACTGTGACCTATTCTATTTAAATAATAATTATTTTTAGAGCATGTCTGGGCAGGATTTTCCTTCCAAAAATTGATTTTCTGTCTGTTGAATTCTGACACACCAGACACAGAAATCAGCAGCAAATCTTCCTTTTTTGACCGTTGCCTTGTTCAACGGTATGAAAAGCACTTTTTTGGCAAATTAAAATCGCGCCCAGACAACCCCTTAATTAATTAACTAAATACCTGAATATAGTCATAGGCAGACTGGTATACGTTGATGTAATGGGGATTTGGCACATTGAACAACAGTGAGGAAGAAATTCTCGTCACAGGGGATATGTAGTTTTGAATGATCAGCAGCGAATTCATACAGTTCCTGAGCTTGATCAAGCAATGCCTTGAAGAGTGGGTGGTTAAGCAAGGTAATTTTGATTACAAACCTCTTGTGGTATTCACCTACATACACAACCAGGTGACCCTTTGGGACATCAGTTGGAACAATCTGGTCTTCATTCGTTGAAGGCCACAAAGAAGACCATTGGCAGCAGCACTTATCACTGGCACCAGAAGGTACGACTCAGTATTCGCCTACATAGACAGCCTGCTGACCCTTTGGGACATCAGTTGCAACAATCTGGTCTTCATTCATTGAAGGCCACAAAGGAGCCCATTGGCAGCAGCACTTGTCACTGGCGCCAGAAGGTACGACTCTACCACCTATTCTTTGCCACTTTTTCGTGAATGCATTCATGAACTTCCCTTTGGAGAGCTCCATATATCTTTTCTGGGTGCTCGAGTGCATGTGTTGGTAGAGAGAGAGAGAGAGAGAGGGATTGCTCTGCTGGTGTGGAAGTGGTGGGGGGAGAGGTTTGTTTATATACAGGAGCGAAAATATATCTTTGGGAACATTGAATGGTTGGTACAGTGCAAAGCTAAGAAGCAAGCTAAGTGTGAGTATGATATTTAAAGTGCATTTGATTACACGTTTGCACCTCTCTCTCCTTTTTGGTATTGCAAAATCTTCATACGAAATTGTACGAACACGATTTACTCCTAATAAACAATAGTATCAAATAACCCTCTCTCTCAAAAAAGAATGAGACCCTACGAGTTGAGAGTGGTGTAGATAAGATATGAAAGAGGGATGGGAGAGAGAAGCTTCTCTCGGGCATAGTGCAATCTCACCTATATATTATTGCCACACGTGTTGGTGGATATTGTGTGTGCTCATGTGTGGGAGTCCATCTATACACATCTATACCATGTATTTGCATATATGTATATATGTAGTTGGAGTTGGATTTGGAAAGAGATGGGATGATATTAATCTTGTAATCCGTCAGTGGATCAGCGGAGACGATGGATAAGGGTTGGTGGATGTACTAAAATTGGAGTTAAGAGTAGTCTTATTATGATTATGCACTTTGGTTGAAAGTTCATTTTCACCCAACTACTGCTGTGATAATGATGCTTTTGAACCAAAGTGAAATCATTTCCTTAATTGATCGTTCTTGTTGGATACTGCGCGTGTGAATACAGATTTCTTAATTGATCATGCTTTTGTGCTTGTGTAATCATCTTAATTTAGTGCTCAAATCATCATCATCGTTATCAGTACTGCATGTGTGTACTGCCCGTACATTATTATAGCCACGCAACTTTCAAGAAGATAAACAATAAGTCCAAAGAATAATTCTTAATGTAGCTAGTTTGACTCCATGTTAACAATTTTTATGAAAAGCCATTTCTGAAAGCCCTTTTCACATTTTATTGTTTGCCATTGCAACCTGCAACTGCTCAGACAGCCAGTTTGTTGTCAGCCAGAGGAATAATACCCACATAAAGACACTACACACAAATCGATAAGCTAAGTTGGGACGTTATTTATTTTTCTTCTGTATAGTAAGTGAAAATTGATTTCTGAATATGTGCTGTGATGCCAGATGTATCCTTTTTTCTTCAATTAATTTGTATATGCATATTTACCCAATAAATGATGATTGCGAAGCCAGCACACTGATTCATTCCCCCAAAGGATATAGCGCTCTACTTTCCTAGCTGAGAGGCACATTAATTACCGATGATGCAATCATTTTGCATCTTCCTCTACTTTTTCTAGATATTAAATGATCTAGTGTCAAATCATTTCCAACTACGATACGGTAAGGTTAAGTCATTGGCCGAACTTTGAGTTTCGCCCATTTTACTTGGTGGACTAGACCTAGTTGATGTGGGATTTTTGTCCATTTCACATGTATTTGGATGCGAGAAAAATTTTCAGAAGATCAATAGTATTAACCATTATACTGCAAATTTTAGTTTGTGCTTGATCTCAGAACAAATTTGAAGCCTAAACCGATCAGGTAATGTAGAAAAGCACGAGGGATGGGACCCCATGCGCAGAGCTTACATGGGGAGAGGAGAAATGCATGTTGGTGACACCTCAAACCACTAAATTGGTGGAGTATCATAACTCTATGCCATGCATGCCAATGATTTGATTCGACTAGAGAAATGATTGCCACATGTATGTTACAGTCCTTTTTATTATATATAGAGCTGTCACATTGAATATTTATCCACTGATTGATTTAGTTAAAAATTAGTTTTTTAAGTAGATTTTGATAAAAGTTGATGAAATATATCATTGAAAAGTTGTGGGTCTCATGAAATATGATTACGAATGAGTTCGAGGAAAATGGGAGTCAAGCAAGAGCTTAATTTCTCACAATTCCGTTCTAATACCTCGTTTACATGTTCAAACAGTGTAAAAGACAGAAGGATTAGTTCATGAGAAAGACGTTTGATGGAGAAAAAGTAAAGACTTGAGGAAGAACTTCTTCCGTCTGTTCACCATGCTTGAACATGGTCGAGTTAGATAATCCTTAGTCAACCTAGTTAAGCACGCACGGATAAATGAGGAGGCTCTGTTAGATGATTTCTAAAACTAACAGAGAAAAGAGTGAAAATAATTAACAAGCAGTTTTCTCACTCAAAATAGAAGACCGACATTAATTAAAGTATACCCAGTATCTTGATGAAATAGCTATCAGTTACTGTTCTTTACGTCTCAATTTGAATGTTCATTTCATTTTTGGATCAAGTGAAGTGAGGTCATCGTATCTCGAACTTTGGATATAAGATCTTGAAAATAAGGAAGGGAGGCAATGTAATTTTGACAAGATAAATTAAAAGTAAAAGAAAGCAATAAAAAATCAAATTAAAACTATAGCTAACTAATTTCTTCCTTCTTCCAACTTGAGTCCTTCCTTCATGAAATTTTAGTCATTCATCTTTTATTCTACATAATTTAATCCATGTAATCTTAAATCATCCATTCTTGATCCGAATCACCTTTTGAACAATTACAATTTAGTCCTTCAAATTTTATATTTCTTCATTTTTCACCTTTCTTTGACCGATTTTCATTTCTTTTCATAAAAGATAATCCAAACTCGAGTTTATCCTACAACAATTGATATTTAATCAAATTAAGCAATAATTCCATCAAATTAACACCCAAACACTTTTGATGGTCCAAATGTGTAGAAATAATATCTACCAGTAATCGTCTATGATCATAGTTATTATTCCCCTTTTATTATTCTTTCTCCTTATTCGAGTTAATTCAACTCGTTCATCCCCAACTCATTGAATTCAAACTTTCATCAAAAACCTAACACTTCACTTTATGGAATTTGGCGTTGAACTATCTAGTTTAAAATTTTAACTTTCTAGGAAATTAACTAATCTTCCTTGATATTTTGAGTGGAAATCAACAGAGTTTGCTTGATAATACCAGTTTTGCTTCATAACACTAGATGCACTTTGCTGTTGGACATTTCTATGAGCAAAGTATGTACTAAATATGTCGATATGTTCTTACACCTAAGATGATGGAAAATAATTGCCTTTTCGATAAAATTTCTGGGGCCCAACGCCACCGTCCCTCCACCGCACAACTTGCTCCACAGCTGCATTATATTTACACTCTCATTTATCATGTACACAAAATCCTTCGATCCTCCGCAAACCTCTAATTATTCTCAGAATAAAACCTATATTAATTGAACTGCAAAACTCGTATTATTATGATTTTAGTTCCTAAGTATTAGGATCAAGCATAATTAAGGAACGTAATTGTGTGAATTGAAGTCATTTTTGCAAAATTGTATTAAATTTCAAGAAATCTTGCATATGCACATGACCACATGCTTGTGGCTAAATATATTAATCATTGATTGTAATCTAGTATACAACATAGACAAATGCTTTTGGGTTATAATAAGGGAACAACACATAAATCAGGTTTTTAGTAAACACTATTTCAAAATTAAGGATATGGGTTTTAAATTTCAAAAATTATATTTTCATTAAAATTTATTTATGATTTAATTAATTAATTATGTATTTTATTAATAAATATATAAATGTCACATATCGATGAAATTTGTTCACAATTAAAAAATTTTAAGGTCACAATTCAAAAATTTTATAAGTCACAGTTCGTTCATCGGTCACAAATTAAAATTTAAAAATCACAATTTGTTTATCGGTCACAAATTACAAAATTTATAAGTCACACAATTTACTTTATAATCACAAACATCAAATTATAGGTCACATATTACTTTTATTGTTTACAAATTAATAAATTTGTAGGTCACACACTAACCAATTTATTGGTCACAATCAACAAATTATTTGTGACCACCACCAACACAACAGTACCGTCATCTCCGCAACCACCACCAACACCACAGAAACCACCAAACGGTGGCTCATATAAGGGCAACAAAAGGTAACAATGGCATATTGAAAACAGCATTCTCAGCTACACATGTTTCTGCAAGTGCTTCTGGAGCTGTAGTAAACATTAATGCATTTGCCATGATAAGTGTGGTTGCAGGGAATCTGGAAAACACTTTTTCCTGCCAAAGTGAATGGAATTAAAGAATAAAGTAGGAGTTGAACCAGTGCCATTGTTGGATATATTACTAATTAGTACCGTACCGACACAAGCACCGCACCGCCCCTACCACCACGATCTCCACAAATCACACAAATCCACCATATCCGCCACATTGAAAACCAAAACACAGATCTCATCTCAGATCTAAACAACTATTTGCCTAAAACCATTCAAGCTCGAAAAATTTTAAAAAACAAATGGAAATAACAGATCTGCGATAGAAAGGAGAAGATAGGAGATGGCAGTCTTCGACGACGCAGACATAGTGAGATGCGATAATAGACAGAGGCTGTAATGGTGCTGATAAGGTGGTGGTGGTGCCAGCGGAGTGGTGGCAGCGGGGATAGAGAGATGAAGGAGAGAAATTGGGTCGGTTTTGGAGAGAGAGAGAGGGAGAAGGGAGTGAATGAAAAATTAGGGTTTGAAATTTGATTTAAATAAAAATTAATTTAAAAATCATTAATTAAAACTTGATTTATGTATTATTAAAGTTGATTTTGGATTTGTGAAAATAGTATTTTAAAAATATGTGTGGCTGTAATTTCCTCTGCCAAACTGCCCGCCAAAATTATCTAAAAAATTAGAAGCGGCAGGAGCAAGTGAACGTTAGACTGGACAAAAATGGAAGACGATGAAGAATCTCTCTCGAGTTCTGAATCCATGGATTCAAATGAATCAGAACCCGAATACGATTATAACTCTGAAGCTAAATCCGAATTCAATGGTTCCGAATGCGTTGAAGATGAAGGGGAAAAGCCCTATGCCCGACGTTCAGCGCTGCCGCGAAACCATGCCCGGAAGTC